CAGTACTATCATCAAAATTATTTGAAGTCTCCAATTCAGACAAGTTTTCCTTAATATGAAATTGCTTAGTTAAATATATCTCAAAAGTATTAAGGTAAATTGAAAAAAATTTATTTGGTGTATAGTGGTCACCTAAACCCAAAAGATACGCTGCTAACTGAGGTCTAGTTAATTCTGCTTGCCCTGCAATCTTATTAAGACACAAGGTAACAAGTTGTCATGATCTTTCTACAAATTTTTCTGATGCCTCATTTACAAGAAATTTATTTAGCATCATCGCACACATTAAAAATGAGTTGTGGATATTCGAATCACACTTAGTAATATAGTCTGTGATGTAATGAATATATGCCAAAGCCAATTTGGTAGTTGCGATAAATCTGATATTATTGTTCCCTCGACAGATAGAAGTTATATACAGGTTGTGATTATTAATATAAGCATTAAGCCATTGAAGAGCAATAATCCCAAGTTCAGGATAAATTTTTCCAGATGCTTCAACTAACTCTCTTGGAAAATCAAAATGACAATTAGACATTTTACCATGATTATATTTTTTACATGACCAGATATATTTGTGAAATAGTGAACACTTGGTGATTGCAAGAACATCACAACAAACTTTTCTTCAAAATTGGGTAACTGTGGGTCCGGAATAGGTAAAAATGATGGATGCATCCTTCTCTCTAAAGTCATTTTTGGAGTCATATATTCCAATAATAACATTTCATCAGTTAAATATTGACCATTAGGAAAAAGATAGCTAATATCTTCCTTAACAATTTCATTTACATAATTCATCAATCAGTTTTTAAAATTCTTATCATCTTTCATACGTTCTCGAAGCTCAATCAGGTTAAAAGCTCCTTCAAGCCAAATTAACATATGGCAGTAAGGTGTGCCACGATTCTGATATTCTACTACAGCATAGTAATTTTTTATATTACTAAACACACCTCCATTTGGTCTTTTATAACCAACTATAAATTTAATTATATTTCTCATAACAACATCAAAGTATGTTGCCACTGCAGTTGGGTCAAGATGGGCCAATCTTGCCCTTTCCATTGCTGTTGAAAAATTATCAGAAACTAAAGAATCAATATCAATCACTTTTCCTGCATATAGCATCACAATCGGCCTGTGAAGATCAGCTGGATTGATAGTAATAAACAATGAAGGCAGACCATCTTGCATAGTTAGAGCATGGAGTTTATTGCGCAGATGACTATGAGACTGACGTGAACCCATAATTTTTCCTCTAACAGTATTGACATTTTTTAATAACTCGAGAATAGCATAATTTGTTATTGGTTGTTTGCTATACTCTTGTTCAAGTGCTAATTCTATATCACCTAGCATTAGTTGCAAGATCAATTCAGCAGATCTTTCAAAAGTTATCTGCTTTGTCATCAGATATGTCCCCGCTGCGATTTCTCTCCTTTGCAGAATATCAAATACTACAAATATAAATAATTGATGGTGCCTGAATCTTGGGTCACAAAAATGCAAAAAGTGGTTGATATATTGCCTGAATGGTATATGTTGTCTACGAAATATGTCTTCATGCCTGCCAACCTCATATGGAAATAAGACAGGAAATGCTGCAGGTAAAAGTTTTGCATTTATATATTCATTTATTGGGTTATTCAAGTGCAATATTAAAATTATCTCTGCATAACCATTTTTACCAGTATTCGATTCATTGATCTTTTTTTTAAGCATTTCTAAAGTATGACTCTTTTCTGCAAAAGAAATATTGTTCATGCATGCCATACCCAAACTTCATAACTCTTCACTACCACTAGTAAAATTATACTTGTCATGTTCAAATGCTTCTCTATCATTATCTAACTCTTCATCTTTCAGATCATAAGTATCATTATCATCAATCGGATCAGTAATATATTCAGTATAATGTTCTATTTCTTTTGGATCAATATCAACCATTACAGTAGTCACCATCAAAGCTACTGGAACTCCATCTTCTGGTAAAGAATTTAATGCTATTTTCTATTTTACCTTTTTGTATAAGATATTATGTTCTATTAACCATTCCAAAGCCCCAGCAACTTTATTTTTTCTTACTCACAATACTTTTTTTAATTGTATTTCCGATGGTTGACCCTGACTAACAAAAACTACTTTCAAGTTATCACACAACTGATATATAGGTAAAGGTAAAATAGTAATAAGTGATACCAGGTTTTGAGTAAAAGTATTTACATGTTCTTTTAGTTTATGATGCGTGTGTTGTTAATTAATAAGCTGAATAAGATTTATACAAAGATATTCCATAGAGATCAAAAGCTGTTTCAGAATTGTTAACCCTTGAAGACACGACAGAACTGTACCTATCCACATGTTAACTAAGGACAACAATAGAGTTTTACCTGCATCTAATGATCTCTTACAATCCAGGCATACACAAAGATCAAACAGATCTTTACTTCATAATGTATTTCGCCTAATAAACCTGTTCCTATCCAATAAGACTTTATATTCACTTTTATCAATCCATAGATGTCCATAGTTAAAGTCTACATCAGAAAGCAATGTCACAAATTTCTTGTCAACTTCAAGTACTGATAGATCTATCTCTTTTACAGAAATTCTAGTCCAATGTTCTGATGAAAACATCTCAGAACAGATCGCACAAGGCAGTTCTCTGAGTAAATCACATTTAGTATTTTCATGAAATCCTGTTAATGCATCAATTGCAAGATTTTTATTAATTAGCCGTGGCCAGTCTATGTACTGTTCTTTTTTTAGTTCAAACGCCCTATCCATCTTCAAAACATGTAGTGGAATATCAGCTTCCTTGGCTCATAAGTCTTTTTCTATAAGTGTCTTTCGCTTTTTCACATATTGCTCTTCATGCTTATTAGCCATTTGACATTTAGTTTTCAATTTTCTAAAGTCAACCCTTAACTCAGTTTTAAAATAAGTCTACTAGCAGACAGATAGAATATTGATCCAGAAATTCATATTTACATGTTATCAGTCGATTAAATATTTTTGACGTATACTACGTGGCTTTTAACTTGCACGAATATATGTTATAGTAAATGAATTTAGATAATGCCATTCTTATGCGATAGTAAATGTTTATTAACTATAACTATCATTTACTTGGGTTAAAAATGAAAAGATAATTATTTTCTCTATTCCTTCAAATTTTTATGTTATAAATTAATTAATTACATAATATATACTACTTGATTATAAATTAATTACATCATTTTATCATCATTCGCTCATCTAATCATTATATGATACTTTACTTACTAATCATTATTATACTTCTGTGACTTCAAAAAACCAATATGGCATTAATCAATGACATAATATATTCTCACTGATTATAAATTATTACATCATTTTATCATCACTCAGCTATTAAAATCATCATACTTACCAATTATTATATACTTTCACTCTATCGTCATCGATCATTTTTTTCAATTATTTCAATATTTCACGTGATCACAAGATGAATGTAATTCAACGATAAGCACATTTATTCCATTTGTCAATTCATTTATTTTTTATTTATTTATTATTTATTTTTGATGTTCAACTAACTTTTTTTTTCAATTTAAGATACACGTGCGCTACATATCCTGAACAGATTTTTAGCAATCAAACATGAAATGATACATACATTTATTAACCTTTTCTTTATCGATGCTTTTAGATGCGCGTAGAATTTCTGATACACCCTAAACATTAGAGAATCAATACATCAAACGCGAAAGTATAACATTATTACAAAAAGTCTTTATTTTCCTCAATAAAATCAACGCGAATATAAATTATGCCTCGAATAAGTACGGCACAATTTTTTTTCTACAATGACAAATTTCTGATGTCATTTTTTTTTTTTGTAAAAAAAAGCCATAGTTTAATATAGTCTCACTGGTATTAAATGATCACTCTTCATGTATTATACATGTAATTTTCCCACATTATCATTCTTATACACATATGTACGTACGTAACCTATGATATTTTCACAGCACCTACTAAAAAGAAAAAAATTGATAACTATAATACCTTCCAAATCAGGAAAAAATATAGTGCACCAAAAAGTTGAATGCAACTATCCCTCCACATTTCATGTAATCGTACTGGTATTTATATGAAAAAAAAATGATCGACAAAAATTCAAAAATCTTATATAGTTCACCTATCATATTGTGCTGCACTATGATAGTAAATTATTTGGTATGAAACACCCCATTCCTGGACTAATTTACCATAGTATCTCTTAATACATCATGCAGACAAATTTGTTGCAAAATCTAATTTTAATGTAATTGATAAAAAAATGAGATAAGGGAGGTCCCCCTAAAAGATATTTTATTTAATTTGGTTAGACTTCATTGATATTGTAGTAAAATGTCAATTATATAAATCATGTTACTGGTGATTAACACTACGTAACTCAAATTTATGTCTATCATGCATTACTGTGCCACACATTACATTGATCGAATCTAAAAAATAATTATTAATTATTTAAATAAAGTTTAGTGCCTTTTTTTAAAATTGTATTATTCTCACACTATTGTTTTACAAATAGGTTGTTTGTTTTAAATATTCAAAAATGATTTTTGGGATTAACTATAGCAATCAATTTTAAAAAAACTATATGTACGTCTTTAAAATTTTAATATTTTACAACAAAAGTTAGAGTTTTTGTCAATTCAAAAGCAATCAATACTGTTTAAATTAACTTGAGCATTATAAATATTTATAAATATCTGAAATTAGAATGATAAAATACATATGCCAACTGGTGTTTTTAATAAAAGGATTAAATTGGAAATGAATTAGAAATAAATAAATTAAAAAAAATTTATTTATTAATTTAAAATGAATTTAGGCCCTGCTTTAAGTAAATATTTGTTCTTTAGTTTGTTATAATGCAAAGCAATGAAGAATTGACTGCTGACTTGTTGGATTCTTATGAGATTTTATTTTTTTACATATACAAGATGATTCTTTGCTAGATGAGATTTTTGAAGATAATGACTATGATAGTGATGCTAATATGGAAAAATTAACTAATAAAACCAATGTGATTATTCTAGACAATGAAAAACAAATTAATAAAGAAAAGGCTAGAGGAAGGGAGAAAGGACGTGAAAGTAAAGAAGTAAAAAATATAGTTTTAAGAAAAAAAGCTAAAATATCTGCACAGTTACCTGTACTACCTGTTTTTAGTTACTTAGAACATAATGTACCATTTCATCAAGGTTTTATTTGATTACCACCAGCATTTCCTTATAACAATATTACTCTATACAGATTGATTAGGCTATTTTTTTCAAAACTAATTTTAACTACAATTCAAACAAATACTAATGAGTATGCAGAATTGAAACATGCTGGTATAATTAAATGTTCTTGGTCAATTTTAACATTAGATGAGTTAAAAATTTGGTTAGGTATTATCATATATATGGGTATTATTAAATTACCAAGAGCAATGGATTATTGGTCAGTTAATCCTATGTACCCTAAACATGATATTACTCAAATGATGTCAATAATACATTTCCAATAAATTAAATAGTATTTATATATTTCAAATATTAATTCTGAAAAACTTTATTGGTTTGATAAAGTTGAACCACTTGCTTCACATATTCGAAATATTAGCAAACAAATTTATGTATCAGACTCATGTGTTGCAATTGATGAAATGATGATTAGATTTTTTGGATATAGTAAACATACATTTAGAATGAAAAATAAACCTATTTCAGAAGGTTTTAAGGTTATTTCATTGTGTAAAAAAGACTATACTTATATATTTATATTTGAATCACATGTTGAATTAAATAAAGAAGTTCAAAATATTTTAGGTCTTAGCAAAATTGGATCACTAGTATCATATCTTGTTACACAATTATCTAATAATTGAACATATAATATATATATAGACAACTATTTTACAAGTATACCTCTCTTTAATTATTTGCATTCAAAAGATTATGGTACTTGTGGCACAGTATGAATAAACACAGCAATGTTTCCTAAAAAATTAAAGATTAAAAAATCAATTCATTAAATTGGGATACTTTGGCTAGAGTTGTTGTGAATAATGTTTTAGTAATTTTTTGGATGGACAATGGTCCTGTTCATATGCTTTCAACTATTCATAGCATTAAAGGTGATGAGTGGAAAGTTTTAAGTGTACGAAGATGACCTTGAGAATCTAGTTCAAATGCAGCCAATATGCGAAAAGTTTTTGGTGATAAAGTATATAAAGAAATTCGAATTTCAAAGGCTATTAATAATTATAACTATTTTATAAATGAAGTAGATATTGCTGACCAATATCGATTTTATTATAATTGTCAGTTTGCTGCTTCACGTATCTGGATGCCATTACTATTTTGGTTAATAGATACTGCGATAGTAAATTCATTTATTATTTATCAAAAAAATAGTAACTTATTTTAATTTAATTCTAAACTATTAATAATTGTCGCGGATGATCGTGAAATCGGATGATGGTGAAATTTGGGGTCTCCTTTTGAAAATGTAGACCCTACTGAAATCTACTTATACTCTTTTCTAAGCAACTTAAATCCTAAATTCTAACCTACCACTAAAAAAAATCTAGGATAATACACCCTAAAAAATTCCAAAATTTCATATTAAATTAGGTCGAAATTTCACCATCATCCGATTTCATGATCATCCATGACTATAATTATGATACTAATTAGTAAATAAGAGTTTTGTCTTGAAAATGACCTTATAGGACTTAGTAATTACTATGTCCCATAAGATTACTTTCAAGACAAAGACCCCAAATTTCATTTTAATAGGTGGAACTCTTGCTCATTGGTAGTTTAGATTGCAATTAACATGGGATTTTGTAAATGATGCATTAAATAATAGACGAAAAGTAGGTAATAAGCAATGGTTAAATAAATACTCAACCTCTATTGTAAGTAAAAATTATAAACTTTCAGCTATTTGCCTTTTTGGTACAAATCACTATCCCGAATAGAGAGGAAGCCAAAGCCGTGTAGCATGTGTTTGGTGTTGATGAGATAGATGCAAAACAAAATGATAAAGATATAAATGAAAAAAATCTGCCACAAAGTCAAATTTGGTGCAAAAAATACAATGTTGCACTTTGTTGCAATATATCTCATTCTTCATATTTTGAAAAATACCATACATATATTAAAAAACAATAACAATATATACCTTAGTAATACAAACGCATTGTTGTTGTATATTTCTGATATATACATATTGTATATATGCACATGTATGCATATATACATATGTATTCTAAATATAAATATTGAATAAATATAATTTTTTTAGGACTTTATAATTTATCGCAGTGGTAATATATTGCTAGTCTCTCAATATCATATGATTGTATATCATGTGATTAATATTTATTAAAAATTTAATTTCAAATTTTATAATTTATTGCACAAGCGATATAACGCCAACTCTAATATATTCAATAAACATTATTAAAATATTTGACTTCACCTTATACAAAGACTTTATTAATATTGTGTTATGTAAAACTTCATTTTCATTTGTCAATTAAAAACTAGTGATATATCGCAACAGTATTAAATTATGAATCCCTTCAAGAGAATTGTATATACAAACAAACATCAATACAGTATATACTTTTCAATACAAGAAAAAAAGAACATTATATGCTTTGCTGATTACTATACTCAAAAAATTTTTCAAAAATATATACAAATCATAATTTTTAACTCTCACTTGTAATCTGTACTTGCAAAATAATTAATCCAAAATAACCTTTCCTTTGAGTATAATTTTTGGCAGATCAACATAATATTCGTATATACATCACCAGTCTGATGTGACCTTCGCAAGTTTTAAATAATTAACACTACGAATATTATACAAAACTCATCCGAAAAATGTGCTCAAAGTTTATTTTAGACAAAACAAACACAAAGACCGGTAAGCAAAAGAGATAAATAAAAATAACTGTAACAATCAAAAAAAGATAATATACCTTGCAATTTTTCTGGTATTGACCCATATTTTCGCATTTCTTGCATCATGCTGATATTTTACCTTAGGCTTGGAAACTTCTTGTGATGATTTAAATCGTTTTGTACCTGATGGTCATCCTTTTGCCTGACACCTCTTTGGATTTTTTAGGTATTGCTGAATCATTTCTTTCATCGCCACTATCACTTTGTAAACTTTCATTCGAATCTGATTGCTCACTAGTACTCTTGTCTATAAATTCTTGAAGTAAAGTAATGAGCTGTGCTAACTTTGAATTAGTTTGCAACACTTTATCAAGAGCTTTTTTATATGCGCTGTGAACTTTTCCATAAACAATCCTCTGCTGAAGAACTGTTAGACTTTCTTTACAGATGTCTTTACAGTTCTGATCAAAAGAACACAAATATGAAATGCTATCTGAATCATATATTATAATTTGATTTTCTTGTTCAATTTGATTTTCTTGCATAATTTGATTTTCTTGCACAATTTGATTTTTTTGCACAATTTGACTTTCTTGTATATATTTATTAGCTTGTAAAAATGGCTCTTTTGAACCGTTTAGACCCTCTTAGTACCACCTTGTTAGAATTAATCGAATGTGAAAACAGGCATTTTTGGTAACTAACATTACCTGAAAATAATGCCTACAAACAACTCTAGATCGAATTATAACATATATGTCCTCGATTCTGTAATAGTAAAATATAGTGCTTGACGTTCGATGAGTTTTCAGCATTTACAGCCCAATTCTCTTTGTCATTAGAAGAACCCACGAATTCAAAAATTTGCTTTAGTGTAGTTTGTGAAATGTCAACTGCTGAATCGTTACTTATAGTTTGATCATCCTATTATTAATTTAAATTTTTTTGTTAAACAAATGCTATTAAAGATTTCGATTTTTATACACTAGTATGACAATAAAAAAAGTAATCAAATTTGGTCATATTTCTTGATCTAATATCTGCTGATAAATTCTAAAATTTGTTTATACTATATTTTGAATCGCATACAATTTCCTTATTTTACCCTATATCAATTATATGGCTTAAAATAGAATTTTGAATAGTTTTATTTTTCAATGAAAAATAAAGCTCTCATTGCCATTCTTATAAATTCTTGCTTTTGTTGTTGGTTTGTCCTATCTATTAGGATTATGTACACTAAGAATTTTATTAGTTTTCATCGCCACTATAAAAACTATCCTTGCTTCCACAAGAGATTCATATGGATTATTCCTTACGGAGTATATATCTGATTTTTTATCAATTCACGAAGCAATCTAGCTTTTTTATCCACAATATTTAAAATTATATATTTCATCAAAATTTTTATATTAGCGGATTGTTGGTAATATATGAAAACCTTCTATTCATACTTTTCAAACACCAATTCTACTATGATAGCTGTTCAAAATTGTGTTGGTATTGTTATATTTTTTAGCAACTTTTTTAAATATCCAAGAGGATTTCAAAGCTTCTGAACCAAATCATACGTGCTATAATAGTTAAAAATTATACTCTAATACTAGACAAAGCCAAATCCATATTACAACTCATATCTTAATACTATTATACTTATATCTGATATTATTTCAAACATAAAATAAATATAGCGACTGATGTTGAAACTTTTTGCATTTTTACATCAGCATATAAAGTTGAAAATTATTGTTAGTAGTACAAACAAAATAATTATAAATTTTAGTTGTACTACTAATTTACATAGTAATCATTTACCTCATCAATTCCAGCATTTTTCATATTTATGGGGTTCGCTACATAGTACAATGATTAGTTCATTTCATTTCTATGTATCTTTAACATAGTGGGCATGAGATATTGTTGAAGGCACTAGTCTATCTTAGTAAATAGAAAATTTGAATTGTTTTGATTTTTTATAATAGGAATCGATAATTTCCAAAATTTGTATTCATTTTCTTTGTCTTGCATATCAAGAAGCCAGTGAATTTCTGTCATAAGCTCACATAATGAAAAATTTGAATTATGTAACAAATATTTTAAACATCCATTAATAGATTCTACATGAGAAGTCACTATAATACTGCTAAAAAATTAAAATAAACTATTGTATTTTTTTTTTAAAAAAAAAAAAAAAAAAAAAAGAATTTACTCGTAAACTTAAATTTAGTAAAGCAATATGCCCAAGATATTTTTGATTTATAAACAAATTCCAAGTACTTTTGCGCATTAGGGTAATTGTTTTGAAGCTCTTTGAACTTCTGATGAAATATATTTTCAACAAAACTGTTGTGACAAAAATAAAATTCGGTAAGAAACTTCTGATATTCATTACCTAAAGCTTTTCTGAGGTTCTTGTGTAGGTTTTGGGTTATTTGATAAGCACAATAGATAGAGTAAGTTGAGAAAATACTTTACGAATAGCTGAGTCGATGGCAGGATTAGCATCTGTAAGTATTATACCTGGACTTATACCAGTCGCTTTAATTATTTGATTGAACATCCATGCATGCGACTCTAAGCTTTCATCAGTTATAAGGCCTTGTGCAAATAGTATATTATTTCATTTATTGTTAAATCCAACAAAAAGCGATAAGGCCATTTTATAACGATTTGTCTTGTGTATTTTGTCATTAAGAACACAGTCTGAATATTTCACCCAGTTTTTTATTTGTTCTGGGATCATCCACATTAAATGGGTTAGAACATTATCATCATCCCAACCCTATACTATGTACCATCGGGAGTCAAGCTCTTTTTGCTGATCAAGCCAATTTGAAACTTGGAATGTATCATTTGACAATGAATTTTGCGCTAGACGAAATTTACTAATAGCTGCATATAAATCTTTTGAGTAAATAGGCTACAATGGATATTTATTTTCAAGAAATCTCCTTTGATTTGTAGCACCAAATTTACAGGAAACGGTTATAAATCTAATGTCATCCATCATCTCATTTGTAAATTTCTTCAACTCCTCAAATTCTATTATTTTCCTGTTTAAAACATGATTATGCTTATCTACAATTTTAGTAACAAACACTAATTTTTTAGGATTTTTAGTTATAGGATATGAAGCATTAACCAAAAATTTACATTTTATTTTCTTTAAAGTTGTATCTTTACTTGAATTAGAATTATAACTTCGTTTATGATCACATATAAATGTACGTAGTCATACAATATCTTTTTCATAAGTTATTCAATCTTTAATTATTCAAAAACCTTGTTTCTTGGACCACTCACATAAAAAAGTTTCACATAATTCCCAATTTTGAAATGTTTTTCCTACATATTAAGTTGCTGTTTCAAGTTTAGTAGTAGATTTATCTAATCCTGAATTATCCATTGTTTAATATAAATAAACCATCAAAAGAGCAGTTAAAAGGAATATTATATCGCAATTTTTAATATTTTATATGGTTAGACCATTAGCCTGACACAATTTTTTTATCATGATTCAGTAGCTTTTATATATTTGTTATGACGCAAATTTTTCATTAGCATGATGTATTTATATAATACGATTAATTGATTAAAATTCAGATCAGTTATGAATAAATAAAATTTAATTTAACTTAGTTTTTTTAAAGGTATAGCATTATAATGCTATAGAGATAAATTATAATATTTATTTTTTTATATGGATTAATACTTAAAGTAAAGATTTAGTAATATTTTAAAAGTTCAACATATTTAAATTTTTTTTTGAATATTAATAACTTAATTATTTAATTTTATTTTATAAAAATCGGTCAATTAAAATTATGCTAAATTTTTAAAAATATAATTAATGTTTATAATTTATAGTTTAAAAATAGTATTAAACCTTAGTAAACATTATATTGAAATATTATATAAAGTTTTATAAAAAATTTTTTAAACCTATATATATATATAACTTTTTGTAGGCAAATTTGCCTGCACCTACTAACGTATTAAGAGATAAGCCTAATTCCCTAAAAATTTCTATTTTTGTAATAAAAAAGTTAAAAACTTAATTCTAGCAAAAATTATATAACAATGTATAATGCGAGCCAAAATTTTATCAACCACAACAGTTATCTAATTAAAATTGGTGGCAAAATTGGTGTGATGGCTAAGACATATTTATTGTAAGCTAGTAAAAGACAAGCATGCTTTATTTAACAATTGAGCAAATTTTTTGTTGATGATTTGCAAGAATAACTAATTTTGATAATAAATAATCACAGTTTGCAAAAATGTACTCAATTTTGATAATTTTTATTTTTTTTAATTCTATAAACTTACAGAATTAAAAAAAAATCTATAGAATTTGAATCAATGGTTTTTGAGAAATCTGAGAAATCTTTACTTAAAGTCAAAAAAAAATTTCTAATATTTTTGTAAAATTTAAAATTTTAATAAAGATTTCTCAACAACTATATTTCAAATTTTGATAAATTTTTTTATATTTTAATTCTACAAAAGCTTAGATAAAAATAAAATATTTGCTGAGTTTAATTAAGTAGTTACAGAGAAATTTTTACTAGAATCTTGAAAATTTTCAAAATCTCATATGACAATTTCAATTTTGACCTATTTACATTTTCAAAATAATCTAATTCCTGTCAAATTTTCAGATCGTTTGGTCTATTGTGGATGAGTTTTAAACTCATCTCTAATAGGCCAAATGATCCACAAATTTGACCAGAATTAGATTTTTTTTGAAAATATAGATCAGATCTTTCAATATTTTGATTATTTTTATTGGCTATTTATAGCATATTTTTTCTTCATGGCTAAGGTTCATAGTTGGATACCGTATAGTTCCAAAAATAAGCACCCCCCGAAAATAAGCACCCCCACATATTAGTTATATCTGAAAATAAGCACCCCTGTAAAAACTGGTAAAAAACCGGTTTTTAATATTTAGACATGCTTAATATAATTGGATAAAGGTGAACAGCCCAGACAGTGATTTCACATATAGCATATTTGCGAAACCACATAATAGTAGTGTATTTTAGAACTACTGGTAAGTGCTTTAAAAATAAATTTGAATAAAAACTAGACTTTTAAAAATAAGGTTTAATTAT